GAGAAGTGAGAACTCAGGAGAAATGTCAAGGTGATCCTACCCAGCATATTCCTGGCATGAAAATGTAACAGGTAGACAAGTCAGATGTTACAGGAGGTGTCACAACACAATCCCACAGTCCCCGAGTATCTGGATTCTGAGCAGCTGATCTGATGTGGAGCCCACCTCTGCACCTGCAAGGAGAATGGTTTAAGCTTCATGATGTGGTGTGTGTGGCCCCTATAAAACTTGTTAAGGTGAGCACCTGGAAGAACCAGTTCCTGCCAAGGGAGTGAACCATCTTTGTCTGCTGAAAAGTGCTATTTTTATTTGGAAACTCATAGACATTAAAGCCCATTTCCTTATGTTTAGGGCTCTTTAAGAGACTTCAAGGACATGGAGTTTGCTATCATAAAGTTGGATTCAGTGGACACTGCTGTTCACATTGACCTGCAATAGGAAACACTGACCTCAAACACTGCAGTTTGGGAAGAGGCCTGGTGTGAGATATTCACTGATGTCTAGGAGCACACAAAATACATTAAGTCACTGGGAGTAATGAGGTCCCACAGAAAGTGCTTGTTCAGGGGAGATATACAAAACCTCAATAATCTTTATAGGAATATAACATAATAGGAAAAGCATGAGTCCAGATATAACACAGGCAATCAAATGAACAAATAAAGACTTCAACATAAAAATATTAAACATAAAAATCACATGACCATATCAACAGATGCTGAAAAAGCATTTGTTAAAGTACAGTACCCATTTATGATACCAACACCCAGCAAAGTGGGAATAGAAGGAGAATACCTCAATGTAATAAAAGCTACATATGAGAAATGTACAGCCAATACCATACTCAATAAACAAATCTATAAGTTTTCTTCCTAAGGACCAAGAACAAGACAAAGGTGTCCACTTCTACCACCTTTATTCAACAGAGTATGGATACTTCAAGACACAGTAATCAAACAAGAAAAAGAAATAAAAGGCATCCAAATTAGAAAGGAGGAAGGAAAACTGTCATTGTCTGCAGATGACATGATAGTGTACATAGAAAACCCTATAGTCTCCACCAAAAAACTGCTCGATCTAGTAAGTCAATTTGAAAAATAGTGCGATGCAAAGTCGATATTCAGGTTGAAAGCATTTCTGTACACCAGCAATGAAATATCAGAAACAGAAACTAGGGGACAAAATCCTCTTTACCATAGCAACAAGAAAAACAAAGTACCTAGGAATAAGCTGAACCAAGGAGGTAAAGGACCTATACTCAGAAAACTACACTGAAGAAAAGTATAGTTTCTTCAGTGTAAAACTCTGAAGAAAGAAATTAAGGAAGATACAAATAAATGGAAGCATATATGGTATTGATGGATTAGGAGAATTTACCCCATTAAAATGTCCATACTACCTAAAGCAAGACATACATTCAATGCAATCTCTATCAACATACTAATGACATATTTCACAGATTTAAAACAAATATTTCAAAAATTTATATGGAACAAAAAAACAACCCCAAACAGTCTCAGCAATCTTGAGAAAGAAGAGCAAAGTAGGAGAATCATAATGCCTCCTATCACACTATATTACAAGGCCACTGTAATCAAAAGAGTCTGGATAAGAACAGATACATACTTCAATGAAACAGAAGAGAAACCCAACAAATAAATCCATGTCTCTATGTCAACAATATTTGACAAAGGGGGCAGGAGCATAAAGTGAGTAAAAATAGCCACTTTAACAAATAGTGTCAGGAGAACTAGAATGTTACATGCAAAAATAAAAATAAAACTAGACCATGAAGTTAAACAATACACCAAAATTAACTCAAAATGGACAAAAGATTTAAACATGAGCTGTGACATCATAAACTTTCTAGAAGAAAACAAAGGCAGTAAAATTTTACATATCCATGCAGCAATATTTTTACTGATATATCTTTCTAACCAAAGAAAATAAAGAAAAGAATAAACACATGTGACTACATCAAATTAAAAAGCTTTTGTGTGGCTAAAGAAAACATCATAAAAATGAATTGGGAACCTATCATATGGAAAAACGTATTTGTCAATGATACCTGAGACAAGGGTTTGATCTCCAAAATACATAAAAAAAACGCACAGTACTCACCACCAGGAAGACAAACAATCCAACAAAAAAAGGGGAAAGGACCTGAACAGACACTTCTCCAAGGAGAACAAACAGAGGGTCTACAGGCATATGAAAGGATGCCCAACATCAGTAGTCATCAGAGAGATGCAAATTAAAACCACTAGGAGATACCACTTCACACCATTCAGAATGGCCATCATTAACAAATCAAGAAATAGAAAGTGCTGGCAAATATGTGGTGAAAAGGGAACCCTAGTGCACTGTTGATGAGAATACAAACTTGTGCAGCTCCTGTGGAAAACCGTATGCAATTTCTTAAAAAATTTAAAAGTGGAACTGTCTTTGGATCTAGTCATTCCATGCTGGGATTACACCCTAAGAAACATGAAACACCAGTTCAAAAGAACTTATGCTCCCCTATGTTCATAGCAGTGTTATTTGCAATAGCGAAGTGCTGGAAACAACTACTGCCCATCAGTAATGAGTGGATAAAAAAACGGTGTGCCATTTACACAACAGAATTCTCTTTAGAAGAAAGAAAGAGCAATCTCCTACCTTTCATGACAACATGGATGGAACTGAAGAGTATTATGCTAAGTGAAATAAGCCAGGCAGTGAAAGGCAGATACCATGTGATCTCACCAACAAAGGGAACCTAATGAACAAAACAAACACATGAGCAAATAAAACCACAGGCATGGAAACAAGAAACAGAATAACAGTGACAAGAGTGGAAGTGGGAGGGCATAAGGAGGGAAGGAGGAAAAAGATCAAGGAACAAATATAAATAATCATGGACATGGACACCAGCATGGGACTGACTGTGGGAGCAATGGGTGTAAACTGAGACAAATGAAACAGAACACCAGTTAAAAAAAACATCAAATAACAATAATTTATGTTAAAAAAGAAACAAAGTTCTAAAAAATGAAAAACAAAATATTTCAATGAAGTATTACAATCTGCAAGAAAACAATTATACATTCTGAAATGGCAATATATAATGACTTCAATGAAGAAAACATCAAATACGACACATGGCTATGCCCAACAGACAGCAGGACCAATGAATTCAAATGAAAATTATTTTTTTTAAATTTTTTTTATTTGGTTACTTTTCAAGTACATTTTTTTTTCCTCTCCCCCCCCCCCGCCCGGTCTCCCCCCTCCCTCCCGTTACCCCCCCCAGTCCTCATCTCTGTGTCATTCATACTTGTTCCTCAAACTCCCTCCCCCTTTTTCCCCTTAAGTTCCCTTCCCTCTCCCCTCTGGTCGCTGCCCACTTGTTCTCTATTTCAGCGTCTTTGTTTTTATTCTGTTTGCTTGTTTGTTTTATTCTTTAGCTTCCTGTCAAAGGTGAGATCATATGGTATTTGTCCTTCAATGCCTGGCCTATTTCACTCAGCATAATGCTTTCCAGTTCCATCCATGTTGTTGCAAAAGGTAGTAGCTCCTTCTTTCTCTCTGCTGCATAAAATTCCATGGTGTATATGTACCACAATATAAAAACTGGGTATAAAAAAGAAAACTGGAGTCAGAAAGACATCTTTGAAAATGCTAAAAAGTGTTCTAACATATACTCAAAAAGAAAGAAAAAGTAAATGGGGAAAAAGATGATATTGAAGATGTTATTTCTGAGAATTTCCCAGCTGTGATGAAGGATATGCTCCCATGAGCACAGAAATCTCAGCAAATCGCAAGAAGACATTTACATACAACACCACCATCCTGCAATAATATAGTGACATTTATGAAAACTAATGATAAAGTAAATATTCTCAAAACTCAGAAAAAAATATTTATTTATTATCCATTACCAACAGAAATTGTTGCTTTAGCTAGAAAAAGGTAACACAATTTTGAGTCTTTTGCTTGCGGCCCTGCTGGCAATGAAATGAAGACTTGTATTTGGTTGGTTTGCTTGGTTTATTTTGACTTCTGCTTCTGTTTGAAAACATATTCATTTGATCTTTATTTTGGAAGCATATTTTCCTGTATGTAAACTTTTGGATTGACAGTTGTTTTTTGAACCCTGCTCAGAAACTAATCATTGACTTCTGACCTTCATAGTTCCCATAGAGAAGTCAGAAATTATTATTATTGCTGCATACCTCATGGCGCTACAGGGAGGACCCAGTTCCATGGAGACACCTGTACTGTAATTTCCAGCCTTGCATAAGAGAAGCCTGGTCTCATAGGCCATTGCCATCATTTCATCCTGGGACCTTAGGGACTGAAAGTGACTTTAAGCCAGTGCTGGCTTCAGATCTCCCCATTCAATTGCTGATTCTGCCTGATTCTTGTACTTTGAACATTTTACTCACTCTCTTTCAAGCCCAGTTATATATTTAAGAGTTATGGTTTTTAAAATATTCTATCCAGTAGTTTTAGGTGCTTTCTCCTAACAAAGTTTTTAGGATGGCCATTCTGCTGTATTGCCACTGTTTCCATTCTAGAAATCCCAGAAGCAACCTACCTGGGGAGGGAGTCAAATACCTGCTATTTCCCTTCACAAATGAGTACTTGATGCAAACAGAGCTGCATTACATGGATGCAAGCTCATGTCTCTGTACCTGCCCACCTGTTATTCCTGTGATGCATGTTTCTTACCCTTGTCCCTACCTCCTGTCCCAGTTTCCTGTATGTGTTATTTCATGAAATGCTTATCACTTCCCTTTTCCAAGTGTCTTGTGCTCTTTTTTAATGTGTATCTTGATTCCTGTTTTCTTGGATTCTCCATTATTCCAGTCTATAGTCTTTTCTTGTCTGTACATGCTCAGATTTATAAACCTCTACTTATTTCAGAGATTTTCACTTTTAAAACTATAATGTTCAAAATTTGTATATTTATTATAGAGACAATACATTATATATATATTTGTTATAGAGAGAGTTCATCATAGTTGGATTTGAAAATTCAGACAAGCACATAGTAGAAAAACCTTTTCCTTAACATCACTGTGAGTTTCCTCTCCATAACTGCATATTATACATATGCCATTAGTAATCTTTCTTTTTCATTTAATACAAATTATAAATATACTGCAAGCCAATGAATACACAACAAACCTGATGTTGAAGAAGATACTATTTAACATGCATGTTCCATGTAAATATGTATTTTACCTGTCTCCTAATATTGGAAATCTTGGATGTTTTCAATCTTTAGCTACTACAAGCAAACACTACAGGGAGGAATCTTTGCTCACATAATTATTTCCTTAGATATATTCTTTCAATGGGAATTACTGGATCAAAAATTACTTGCAGTGTTCATCTCTGCTATTATGTACCAAATTGTCATGGGCAAGATAAACACTGTGTGGTGTTACTTATTTTCTCAAAGCTTTGCCATAAAATAGAAACTAGACTCAGAGAAGAAACATAGAGTTTTCAGAGGAGAGAGGGTTAGGGGGCTGGTTGAAAAAGTTGAAGGGATTAAGCAAAAATAAATAAATAGACCAAAGCCATGGACACAGACAACAGCATGATGATTACCAGAGGGAGAGGGGTGTGGGGAGAGGTAGAAGAGGGTGAAGGGGGAATCAGTGGTAATGGAATGAGGCTTGAATTGGCGTGATGAACACACACCACAATATACAGATGATGTATTATACAATTGTGCTCCTGACATATATACAATTTTATTTGTTTTTAAGATTTTATTTCTTTATTTTTAGACAGAGGGGAAGGGTGGGAGAGAAACATTAATGTGTAGTTGCCTCTTGCATACTCCCTCCTGGGGACCTAGCCAGCAATTCAGGCATGTGCCCTGACTGGGAATCCAACTGGTGACCCCTTGGTTGTCAGGAAGGCATTCAATCCACTTATCCACATCAGCTAGGGCTGAAACCTATATAATTTTATCAATCAATCTCATCCCAATAAACTAAATGAAAAAATATTTTTAAATAATAAAATTTTAAAAAATATAATAAAGATTAAATTTTAAAATAAAAAAATAATAAAATAAAATAAAATTTTAAAAGTTATCAACTTTAATCACAGATAATTGTATCTTATTTTTATTCTAATGTTTACTATTATAATCATCCTGATAATTTGGGGAATTATATTTTAACTGTTCTGAGAATGCTTAAAAAGATACTTAAATTTTGTGTTCTGATCAAGCTTGGTCTTTCTCTTTAAACTCTTAAAACACTTTGGGAAAGAAACTAAGTTCTTGAACTACTTCATTCACCAGAGACATCTAGTTAGAATCTGGAGGCTTAAAATACTGACAGGTGACTGGACTGGCAGTCTTCTTTCTCAGAAAGGCCTCTCTTCCAGTTCCCCACTGTGAATGCATCACCAGGTGGTTTTACAGAGCTGATCTGATGCTGGAGCTGGCACTGACTTTCTCTGGGTTTTAAGGCAAACCTACTCATGTACATGGACCAATGTGCATGGTGCATCAGTAAGTGAATGAGCAAACCTGCATAACTACAAGTACTGTGGGCCCCAAATCACCATACTCACACCTTTGAATGATCTCCTCCTCATGACTAAAGAACTGTTTTGCAACTGATTTGGAAAATGAACATGAATTCTTCTAAAAAGTTCTAAAGTTGATAAATTAACAAAGTTTATATTGAGTCATTTCAATGTCATATCTAAATACTTGAGTACGTTCTATTTAAAAAAGATGACCAGCTTACAGCAGATTCCTTCAATCACTCTATGTCTTCTTCTCACAGCTAACATGGATTTTTTGAGTCCAACCCTCCATAAAGGTCATAAGATTCAGGCTTTCTCTAAGGAAAGATCTCTACATTCATCATGTTTCATGAATGCATCAAGACCTATTTCTCTGGGACTGAACCCTTAGGGCAGACGCCTTCCCCTCACTTCCTCAGGCCTCTTAGTCTCTGAGACGTCTCTGGGGCCCCCAGTTGATTACTGCACTTTAGCCTCCTCACTCATGTCACTTCACATGCCCCTTGCTTCCTGACACAAGGTTTCCTTTCTCCCCTGGGGAAAATATCTCTGGATTACTTGGTGGCCATAGTATACATACAATTGTCCTGTGGGACAACTGACACCCCGTGGAGTGAGACACACTATTTACCAATGAAAGGTAAAAGTAAGCTATTAAGTTCTTCACATTTATTTTGAGAGGGGAACAGAGGGAGAAAGAGCAGGAGAGAAACAGTGACATGAAGGAGAAACATTAATTACCATAGTTACCTCTTGTACACACACCAACCAGGGACAGAACCTACACCCCAGGCACCTAATCTGACTGGGATTTGAACCATTGACTTTTCCCTTTGGGGATGACTCAGAACTGCGCCACACCAGCCAGGGCTTAAGTTCTTCACTTTATTTACTCTTCCTGGTAGTACCTACCTAAAGGTGCATGATGCTTAAGTCCTCTCATAAGGGAATCCAGTGACACAGAACAGTTCGCTGTTTCTAACAGCACACAGTGGGCAGCCTCAGTAAGTCACCCTTCAACTTGCTTTCCCTACTTTTTGTCACTCCCCCTTTTCCTCATTTATAATAAATGTTGGTACATGAGCTTTTATAAAGGCTTTTATTTTGAGAGAACCCAGACTGGGATGTAATGGCACTGTCTGCAACATAAAAGGGCAAAAATTCTGTTTCTGTGGTCCCAATGAAGTACAAAGGAAAAGGAAGACAGGTAAGAAAGGTAGGTGGTCAGATGCATGTACATGCTGTCTTTCCCACTGTAGTCTGAAAGGACAGAGATGGGTTTGTTAGGTCTGACAAGAATGAACCTGAAAAGCTTACAAGTATTTCTCTGCATCTCCCATTAGTGCCTCTGGGTGGAGACCAATGTGCAGGTCAAGTGCAGAAAACATCAAAGCCCAGGGAGTGGAGAGAAAAGTGCTGCAGAACTAAGTTGTCTAGATAGACACACCTGAGGCAGCTCTCCTGGCTTCTTGCTGCCTCCATAGTTTCTGAAAGAACTTGAGATGATTCTGCACATCCCCAGTGGTGGTGGTGAGTGCAAATGTTGGAGAAGTACGTCGAGCACTTACACAAGGAATCACCATGGTGCCAGGGAAACAGCCTGGAATCTGAGAACATCAGTCGTCCAATGAGGCCTGAGATCAAAAGGAAAGGCTGGGCCGAATTTTCCAAAGGTTCACAGCACCAAAGGAGATGTAATTAAGGTGGTGATACCACACCAAGGATGTCTAACTGACGCTGACTCAATACACAAGAAAACAACTTCCCACAGCCTGTGCTCCAGGTTCAGAGACAAGACAGGTCCTGGGACACTTCCCAAGACGCCAGATCTCAGCAGATCACAGCTGCCCTCACCAAGGAACTCAAGTCCACAGAGAGGCTGACACATGGACCCAGGTGACATGCCGTGGGAAAGAGGCTCTATAAAACAGGCAAGCAAGACTGAGATTGTTTCAACAGAAATGGCTCCAAATTCACATAGTCCTGACACACATACAGAGCTTCATTTTCCCCACTCCCAAAACTTCAAGGCTGCTAATTAAGAATATAAAGTAATGTTAATAGAAAAATAAGTTTCTGAATGTGGTTCAACTATTTAGAACAAAAGATACATAGATTTGTGAGCCGGTAACATATTTATGTATATGATACATTACAGTAATGCCAAGCTTTCTTATTAGACTCTAGACCCACCTATATGTGGGTAGAAATTTCATACACAGATGACCACTGAATAATGAAGGGGTTAGGAGAACCCACCTATATGCAAGGGCTAGGGGAATTGATCCCCATGCATTCAAAGATATGTGACTTCCTAAAATCTTAATTACTAATACCCTATTGTTGACCCAAATGCTCACCCATAACATAGTCAAATAATACCCACAAGGATAAATAAACCAACAAACAAACCTGGAATTATCTTCTGGAGGGCTGGCCCATGGTAGCACAGGCTCCCCCCACTAGGTGAGAGTTTTAGGAACTCATCTGTATCAGGGTACCAGCTGGCATGGTTGTGAGAGATTGCATTCAGCTGCTCTGAATTGTTTTCGGAGACTATTTCCACACATCTGCCCATTGCACAATGAGTGACTTACAAGTGGACCTGCCCACACCACACTGACTGTTCAGCTGTTTTTTGAGCCACCCTCCATATTCACCCAAACTTGCCCCAAGTGAGCTTTTATTTCCTTCCCTAGATAAAAAAGTCCTCTGAGGGAAACATTTTCCTTCTCTGGAAGACATGAAAACAAAGAGGCAGAGAAGCACTAAAAGGAATCAAAATCAATGAGTTACAAATTTTGAGGAGGAAAAAAATGTCTCCATAAGCGTACTGTATCATATAGAGAGTACTTTGAAGGTTATAATGTTAAAACAATCAGGATAAATACACAATATTTTACAAATAAATTTCAGATTTTGGGGGTCCCTTTCATATTTCTTATATGTACTATACACTGTACTCTTACAATAACATAAGCAATAGACAAATGTTAAGAAAATCATGAGGAAGACAAAATACATTTATAGTAATTATGAAAAAAATCTGCATAAAAGTGACCTTATTCAGTTCCAGCCTGTTTTGTTTAAGGATTAGCTGTATTTAGGTCATCACTGTCTCACCAATGTCCAGCTGAGTGTGAGGAACAGTGTAAATGCTGAGTAAAAGGTAATAATCATGATACCAACAGCCTATCGGATGGTCAAGCCAAAGCAGATCCAAGTCCAGGACACTCATGACCCAGAAATTCCCTGAGTATGTCTTCAACAGAAATGATCACATATGGTCACCATAGCATGTACATAATTACATCCATGGATGAACTATGTGTTACAGCCAGAACTGGAGACACCAGACATGTACCACCAGAAGTATCATCCATAAATTGTGATAGATTTATAGATTGTACTGCTATAAAACAATTAAGTAAATGAAATAGTATACCTGTAGTAAACTAACGAATCTCACAAACACTACTGAATCAAAAAAGAAAAGTAAGAAAGAATATACATTTTGGGTATAGACACATACAGATATAAATTTTTGCAATTCTGAATTGTATTGATCCATGTAGTTTTAAATATTATTTCTTTAGAGAACAAAGATTGCTAGGAAAGACTCTATGAGTCATTTACTTCCTACATTAATTGAAATCTTGGCATTTTGCATCACACAAGGGGTACACATTGTATTATCCCTGCTTTTTCTAGTATAAGAGCAAATTTCACTCCGTATTGTTTTATTTTTAAGTCATATTCCATGTTTTTTAAAAATGATAAATGTATCTAGACCATGATGTTATAATTACAATTTATCGATCTCTTGTTAAAATACATTGATTCTGCTAAACATTTTGTGCATAGTATTTCCTCTGAACAAACCTGTGAATTTCCTTAATGAACTTATTTTACACATAATAAATGTAAATTTCAAACAATTATAGCATAATGTTTAAGTTTCTCATCTAGCAACTAGCAGACCTTGGTAAAATTCTCAGCTTTACCTAAATTTAAAATCATTGATTTTAACCTTTTTTGTTGTGGCTGTAATGTCTATGTGTATAGCAGAACTCCTGAAAAAATCGATGCTTTTTATGAAAAAAAATTCATATTTTTCTCTTTAAAAACTCTTCACACACACACAAACACTATTTTAAAAGTAAGTATTTCCCTTTGGTGCATTTTCAGTATTCAGCTTTACTTTAGTGTATAATTTGAGGACAGTTTTGAAAAAGTCTCTTTATACATGCTTTCCCACCACCTCTTAAACTGTGTTCTATCACTTCATAAATGTACTAGAGTTCCATGTTTGACTAAAGTAGTTATTTAAATCACCTCATACATTCACTTTAAAGAGCAAATTATTACTGATAATTTATAGTCTTGTATCATTGGTCAAACAGTCATCACAGCAATTACACAGTCTGCTCTTATTTTGAGAATTTATAAGTTTTGGTCATTTCCCATAGCAGAAAACGGACCAAACCAATGAGAGAAAATGGTAATTCTGCCAAGGACTCTCAGCTACATCCATTCTGCCTTCTTCCTCTTGTCCTCACCATCCCAGATCTCCACCTACACTGCAAAGGCAGAGAAACACAGCAGCACAGAAAGTTCCAATGTGTCTGTGTGTTTCAGCCTGGCATCCTTCAGGGTTCTCTTCTTGTTGTCACTTCCATCAGAGTTACACCTTAATCCTCTTTCCCTTGAAGTCCTGGCTCCTGCTCTTCCTAATTTAAGTTCTTGATGCCTCAGAAAACATCACTGTCATAGACATATGGAGGAAAACATCCAAATATTTTAAATGTACACCCATTTTTTGATGATGACAGATGCTAAATTTAAAATATTTAAACAATTACTATGAATCAACTTCAACTCCTTTATTTTAAATATTCTGCCCATTCCATATTTTCTTTAATAAAATTTTGTCTACAAATCCGGATTATGCAATATATAAATTTATTTCATCTTATTCAGAATATTCCTGATGACCATATTACAAGTACACAAACCACACAGAGAGCTAGAAAGAGGGACTTATTTTCTTCTGCAGCATCCTCACAGGATGGAGCAGAATGGGCTTTCTCAGAAGGTAGTAACAGGAGAAGTTCAAGAAGATAGAAAGGGTGCTCTAGGCCTAGAGCACATCTCTGTATCCTGTGCACATATCAGGTGAGGTGACTCATCTGATCTCTTTACACTCAGTTATTCTTTTATCAGAGGTTCTCACCAAAGTCTCTCCTTTTCAGCCTCCTTCTCAGAGCAGCACTGACTTCTCTGTTCCTCAGACTGTAGATCAGGGGATTCAGCATGGGATTGAAAAGGCTGTGAAACAGGAGGAGGTATTTGTTCCGCTCCTGGGGGTCCCCACGTTGGGGTCCAACATACATGATCATGGCTGTGCCATAAAAGAGTCCCACCACGCACAGGTGGGAAGAACAGGTGGAGAAAGCTTTCTGGCGTCCCTCTGCTGACTGGATCTTCAGAACAGCATGTAGAATGTGACCGTAGGAGACCACAATTGCAGATAATGGTCCCACTAGCACCAAAATTCCCACAACCACAACCACAACCTTGTTAACTTGTGTATCTGCACAGGCCAGTTTAAGAATGGCTAGAATTTCACAGAAAAAGTGGTTCACTTTCTGGGGCCCACAGAAGGGCAACAGTAATAGCAACACCATTTGTACTACAGCCAGGAGGATTCCTACTGTCCAGCAAGTAACCACCAGGGTGACGCAGACTCTCCAGCTCATAATGGTAGAATACTGAAGGGGCAGGCAGATGGCCACATACCTGTCATAGGACATCACCACCAGGAGAAAACATTCAGTGTGAGCAAAAATCCAGAAGAGAAAGGTCTGTGTCAGGCAGCCAGCAAAGGAGATGGGCTGGGCTGGCCTCTGGAGGTTGACCAGCATCTGGGGCACCGTGTTGCAGGCATAGGCTATGTCCACAGTGGCCAGGTGGGAGAGGAAGAAGTACATGGGGGTGTGCAGTCGGGAGTCCAGTGTGATGAGCCCCAGGATGACCATGTTGCCCAGCAGAGTAAAGGCATAGAACACAGTGAAGAGCCAAAACAGGAGCATCCGCATCCTTGGGCTGAGGGGGAATCCCATGAGGAGGAACTCTGTGACAGAAGTCTGGTTGCCCCCCATTTTCCTGGGAAAGAGACAAGGGAGCTAGCTCACCAGGTCTGAATGCCTAAGGGACATGTTTAACATGCTACACGTGTGTGGCATTGTTTCTCCTCTCAGAAAACATCATCAGTGACACTTCTGTCCTGTTTGTCAGTTCCTAAGTGAATCCTATGCACTGCAAATTGCACAGAAAAAACTTTTTTTATCCTGATCAATTAAATTCTAGAGTTGTATTATTATGTTCAGTAAATCTTAATTTCCAAACTTCCAACACAGTTCAAAACACATTAACACACCTACTGCCTCACTAACAGTGGACACTTTCCTCAGTAAGCAGGACTCCTTCAGTGGTTTACCTGGGAGGAGTCCCGACCCCCAGTGCAGACACAGACACCATGGAGATGGGACTGTGGGCCTGCGTCTGTACCCACACACAAGGGTGGGAAGGAAAACCAGGAGGGTGTGGGAGATCCTCCTATCAGGGATATCCCAGATTTGTGCCTTCATTTGATGACTTACTGGTCAGCCACGTATTTTTACTGGCAGCATCATCTTGAATTAAGTTGAGAGCATGGCAGGCAGACTGCCACCACTCTTTGGCTAGGTTTAAGGGAGAGAATTTTGTCTTTGACTTTTGTACCTATAGACCTTTGTTCTGATCTAGCTCATTCATGGTCTGATATTACCAATCATACATTTATCCCTACATAAATATTTATATTCCTTTCCTGTATGTGTGGATAAATGTATGTTATGTATATAGTAACACGCATGCATACATGGACACATGTGCACTTGAATCCTTATTGCCATATGTCTGTATCATGTGACTATCATGTGCATATAGGTACATATTATTTGAATATAATCCTTATTATATCCTTATCTCTATATATTTATATTCTATGTCTATGTTTGTAGAGAATTTATACACACACATACACACATATGCACTTGATTCTTTATTATGTGCAATACTAGTTGCTACTTTTTGTATTATTTTCTACCCTACTTCACTAGTAAAATGCTGGTTAAATGGTTTCCTGATGGATCTTGGCCTGGGACTTCAAACTACTGATCAATATCCAAGGAAAGAGCTAAAGTTCTAACTATATACTCATACCATTACAACCTTTCACATATTTGATAGCTGAACCCTAACATGAAAACATTATTCATCACAAATCTTTACTTTCCGTGGTTTATTAATCTTTAGAAGAAGTATTTCTCCCAGGGTGGCAATTCCAAGGTTTCACTTGTAACTATTAAACCACTGCTTCTGTTTCCTTGTCTGTCTGACTCCATATCCTTCTTCAGTCCAGCATCCATCTGAATTTCACTAAAATAAGAATTTCACAAAAACTCATGATTTTGGTTCCATATCAATTTTCCATTCGAATTTCCTCATAAGTTAGTATTTGCAAGGTGTTAGAAGCAAAAGTGTGAAGGTTTCACCATGCTTCAAAGGAAGAATCAGAATTCAAAGCAGAAACACTGGCAGATGATTTTATCTTAGTCCAAGAAATAACGTTATAACAGATAGAATCGCCATCCTGAAGAAAGCTGGTTGGTTTAGTAGGACCAAGCTTTATGTCAGTGTGTGCTTTAACTCAGGATTTGAATTCCCATGTTATGGGAGAAGGCCAGCAAGAAAAATGCTGAGGTCTCTTCCAACTGTAGGATTCACTGGCTGTGAATGTATAGAAAACTGTTAGCCATTTTCATTTCAGTCTGTTGCCACATTTGGGGAGAAAGAACACAGCAATGCTATTTCTAAAATATCCTATGATGAAGGACACAATAATTTAAAGCAGAAGGAAAACTCACTGTCATCTCATCTTCCTCCTCTCTGCTGAAGTAGCTAAAACAAAAAACAAAGACCCACAGACATTTACTGAACACATTCCATGTTCCTCCACACGTCTTGGCTGAGGGCAGAGAAGACAACTCCTACCTGCTGGTATACAGAACCTTCTTGGAGTGACAGGTCTGTTAAAAGGAGTCAAAAGATGATCATTCTCATATTCAAATAACTCACCAAGTGAAAGTTCACTTCCAAAAATACAACTTTCAAGACACTCTCCTGTAACAAACTCCTTTCGTGATCCATTATGTCATAAAAACATGAATGAGTTTCATGGGACAATGGAAATACTTTTAAGAAACTCCCTCAAACAGCTAATGTGTCTTGTAATTTAAACAAGGAATTTTATACTCAATGTATCAATGTAAATGATTCTAAATTATCTGGTGACTGAAATTATCCCATTAGCTAAGTCTATAAACAGCAGCACCTGGCACTGACAGACAATAACTATTCCTATCTGCACTGAGATTTTTCATCACAGCCTGTATGAATTTGAATAGTGAACTAAGACTGGACAACATATGAAACTTACCACAGACTTAGAGCTACACACAAAAAGACCAACTGAATGTGAGTCGGGTTAAGCAAAAACACACTAATATAGAGAAAAGTATCTGTGAGTTAGTGTTGAAATTGCTGTCTCATAAAGACCTCGTAGGAGAAGAGGTGCCGAACAAGAAGAGATGATTGATTCTCTGCTCCACTCCACCACCTCTCAATATACTTCTGAGTGTTTGGTGTAGGGAGGGACAGAGACCCACCAGGGACACTGCCATCAGCTCCCTTCCAGGGGAAAGGGGCTCTCCAGGGACTTATCTCTGGTGTTCTCCACAGGGACACCTGTGACAAGACACTGGCTATGATGGTTTTTTCACTCACTGTGGGGTCCATGTTCATCCATTTAGAAGCTCTAGAATGCTTTCTGGGACTCCTTCACACACTACAATGACCACACCACACCTTGCATTCATTATGGCTCAAGAACTCAATTTCCCCATCTACTAACCCTCCAGATAGAGTACGTGGTACACAGGGCAGCTGGGGCCCATAGGTTTTTCCCATCCTCTAGCCTAGGCTGAGTTTTATCTCACACCAGACCAGAACATGTATCCTCTGTATTTTTTCATCAAGTCACCACAAGGAACACAATTCATAAAGTAAGACCAGAAACCAGAGACCAGGTAGCAGGACCTGCAGAAGGGAGCAGGAATAGAAGGCATCCCAAAGGGACTTGTTAAATCCTGTTTGGTAGAATTTAACTGCAGTGCCAAAAGGGAAGAAAACTCTCACCAGGAAACAATCTCTATCTTATCACCTCCAGAGACTCTGAGTCAAGGGGGAAAGAGACAGGTTTCCCCTCGGACTCTGACTACTACAGTTTCCTCTCCTTCCTGAAAGAGAAACTGACCCCCTTTTTGAGTTCTAGCCAATGCAACTGAGACAATTTGGTGGTGCCTTGGTGATTTACATTTTTCTTTTCTTATCTACCTCTATCCTTACACTGGATTATAAAGGTGGTAGAACTGATCATTTCCCAAAGTTATTTCAGTGTACACGCCAACCTATAAGGAAACAATAGAGGGACTATTTCACCTGCCAGAGCATCACCTGCAGTAGGTCTGAGATGGGCTTTCCACCCTTAAACCTGTCCAGTGAGAGGCTCATCGGTAATGGGAGTCCAGACACTACCCTCACATACTGCAGAGATACGGTGCCCTCATACTGATAGTTTCATTTCAAAATCTCTACTTTTTGGTCATATAAATTTTTGTTCCTGACATTATTTCATACATACCATTCCCCTTTTTTTGTCTTCAGTTCAATCTATTTTACTGGCATTTGTAAAAACACCTAGGTTTATATTTTAATGATCTTCATAATTTTTTATTTTTTGGCAATAACATTTGCTCTTATATAAATTATATCATATCTGTATTTTTCTTCTTGATCATGGTATCGCCGAGTTAAATACTTTACCTCTTAAGTTTATCTTGAGTTGTTCATAAATATAATTTGGACTCTAAACTTGCTTTTTATTTTTTTTAAATATATTTTATTGATTATGACATTACAGTTGTTCTATTCCCCCCTTCATTCCCCTCCACCCTGCACACCCCCTCCCCCACCACTCCCCTACTTTAGTTTATGACCACTTGTCTCAAGTTCTTTAGATGCTATATCTTCCCCACTATTTTTGCCCTCCCCCTATCTATTTTCTACCTACCATCTATGCTACTTATTTTCTGTACCTTCTCCTTCTCCCATTCCCCTGTTGCTAACAGGGGAGAACATGCGATCTTCACTTCTATGGTTATGCTCCTGATCTAGCTATCCTCTTAGTTTGCTTTTGTTTTGGGTGTGGTTCTTAACAACTGTGAGTTTGCTGTCCTTTCACTGTTCATCTTTTTTATCTTCTTTTTCTTAGGTAAGCCCCTTTAACATTTCATATAATAAGGGCTTGGTGATGATGAAACTCCTTGAATTTGATCTTATCTGAGAAGCACTTTATCTGCTCTTCTATTCTAAATGAAAGCTTTGCTGGATAGAGCAATCTTGGTTGTAGGTTTTGGATTTCATGACTTGGAATACTTCTTTCCAGCCCCTTCTTGCCTGTAAGGTCTCTTTTGAGAAATCTGCTGACAGTCTGATGGGAACTCCTTTGTAGGGGACTGTTCCCTTAGCTCTTGCTGCTTCTAGGATTCTCTCCTTCATTTCAATCTTGGCTTATGTAATGATAATGTGCCTTGGTGTGTTCCTTCTTGAGTCCAACTTCTTTGGGACTCTCTGAGCTTCCTGGATTTCCTGGAAGTCTATTTCCTTTGCCAGATTGGGGAAATTCTCCTTTATTATTTGTTCAAATAAGTTTTCCACTCATGGCTGTTCCTCTTCCCCTTCTGACACCCTTATAATTCTGATGTTGGAATGCTGAAAGATGTCCTGGAGGTTCCTAAGCCTCTCCTCATTTTTTTGAATTCTTGTTTCTACATTCTTTTGTTTGGTCATTTTTTTTCCTCTTTCTGGTCCACTCCTTTGATTTCAGTCCCAGATTCCTTTCCATTACTATTGGTTTCCTGTGCATTTCCATTAATTTCAATTATTTTAGCCTTCATATGTTCCTCTAATTTGTGACTAAAACCAACCAGTTCTGTGAGCATCCTGATCACCAGTGTTTTGAACTGTGATTCTGAAAGTTTGGCTATTTCTTCATGGCTTAGATTTATCGGCTCTGGGGCTCTGAGATGTTCTTGAGCCATGTTTTGATCTGTTCGTGCCTGTTAGGTATGAGGAGCGAAGCCTTCGCTGTTTACCAGGACAGGGCCACCCAGGTCGCTGGTTTGTGATGCTATATGTGGGGGCAGGGTCAGAGAGGGACTACAGCAGTTCCCTCTGGCACTTCCTGCCACTGGGGCCTGCAAGGTCTGTCTCACCACTCACTCCTTCACTGGTTTATCCACATGCCAATGTGTGTATAAGGTCAGCCCTCAGTGAGTCCACCGCCCTGCGCCCTCAGTGGGTCCGCCCGCTTCTTCACACCTGGGATCCACCTACAGCTGCTGGCATGCCTGGGATGTGTGCCCAGGCCAGTCTGGTGGATCTTTCCTGCCCAACCCTGCTCTGCTGCTGGCTCTGAACCTCTTACCAGTTTGGCAGAAGGGTTCATTGTTGTCAGACTTCCGTGAAGTTTAATTTTATGTGGTTTGGCTGCATTTTTGTGGCTAAAAATTTGTTGTTTTTAAACTTGGTTGTGGGAGGAGGCACAGTGCTTCCACCTACGCCTCCATCTTGGCGGTAGTCCCCTAAACTTGCTTTTTATTCACCACTTTGGCTACACATCTCAAGACTGATACTCAGAATTTTCACCATTAACACCATCAGGAAAATACAAATTATGTAGAAGTGCATTTTTAGGTTTCCAATTTTTTTATTATCTTTATTGTTTATTTTTTATTTATAATCACTGTGGTGTAAAGTAATGAATCCTTGGGGTACTGATTCTTTGACAAATCTGAGGAATTTTATCATTTTGTATATAGTCAATTTTGCTATTTTTATATTAATTTCCACATAACATATTCTCTATTTCTCAGGCATAGGATTCTTTATACATTTTTTACAGCAAGGTTGTTAATCTTGTTATTCAGAGTTTGGATATCCAATTTTTTCCATATTCTCAATTTGTTTCTGAAGGCATTTTACTCAATTCCACACTATAAAGTAAGATTTACAAATCTTTTCAATAGACTTCTCTGGTGATTTTTCCTAGTTCTATATTGTGACTATGTTCTTACAGCTATAAATATTAATGACTGTTACATCTTCTTTGTAGGCTATTACCTTTATTATTATCTTGTATCTCTCATTATACCAATTCGTTTTGCCTTAGATAAATATAAATACAAATACCTGCCTCTTATTCTTTTGTTGCAACAACTACTTACATATTTACAGAGGATATGTTCTTCATGGCCATTGCCCCAGACTGCCTTTGCAATTGTGACTTCGTTTCTCTTATCAACTATATAGCTGAATTTTATGGGTTTAAAAAATCAATGTGAAAATAAGACGATCAAATCTATTTTTACTTAATGTAAATATTGAGACATTTAGACCTCTTAGCACTTGGGTTTTCTGGGTAGCATCCTTTCCTTGGCTTTTATGCTTCTTTCCTCTGACAGCTTTATAAACAAAGGCTATTGCGCATTGTCTGGCCTGGCTCCCCGTTAATTTTACCTCGGATGTTTTGCCCTGTATTGGAGACCAAAATTCGGAATTTTGGGGGTATTTTCACTCAGGGTACAAGTAATACAGATGCATTTAGCACAATAACAGGATCATTATGAAAAGCACCAGGTAACTTTAGAAATATTTTATACTAGTTTTTTGTTCTTCCACTCTCATTCCTGCTCAGATGTTTTTGTTTGCATTATTTGTGTAAGTGTCTTCATTTCAGAGTGTTTTCTCACTTCTCTTTTAATCAGATGGGATAAATCAGGGAACAGAAACCATGCTGGTGTGGTACAAGAGTAGACAGACTTTCACACAACACAATGGTTACAAGGATAGTGGGGAACTACAATAAACACAGAGCTCTTGGATGAACAAGCACAAGTGTGTGAAGCTGCCATCCCTGTGTTCATGGGCATAGAGCAGAGGCTGGGTGATTAGAATCCAGAAGGCAGAGGAGTCAGGTTCAAACTTAACACTGTGAAGAGAAGGGGCTCCACGGTGGCACTGTGGCCACACCAAGGAATGATGAGCCTGGCTCTGGGACGCTGAGTAACTAAGGCTGGGGAGGTGCCTCTGCTGCCACTGCCAAGAGCTGTTGGGCAAGGCTGACAAGAGAGGCAGGCAGACAGGAAGGAGCAAGGTCCTTTCCCTGTTCCAGCCTCCCAGTCTGCTTTAGAGCTCCCTACCTACACAACATAAGCAATTGGAAGCCACTAAAATCAATAATCTGCCCTGGCTGGTCTGGCTCAGTAGGTTGAAGGGTTTTTCCATAAACTGAAAGTTTATGGGTTTGAATCCTGTTCAGGGCCCATATTCCTAGTTTGCAGGTT